CATGGGTGGACATGCTCTCTTTGAAAACTTTTCTTCCCTTTATCTCCACGTATAATGTCATTTCATAATAAAACCTGTTACCTGTTTGGTGGATTTTTGTATTAACTCTGATTCTTACCTAGTCTCCTTTGAAACATATATTCATTTTCTTAAATCTTCTTCTATCACTTTCTTAAGAGTAGATATTGTTTTTGCCTTATAAATCAACATGGTCAGCTGCTAATTAATACACCCATGCAAATAGCAAGATCTCAGAAAGTTTCCCCCAACACCAGACTTTTTCGGCTATGTAGCTTAATTCAAGCTGTTGCCTTTCCTGAATATCTGCTTAATTGTCCTTCTGAAAGCAACACTATTGCTTTTCAAGATTGAATCCCAAGAGAACTGATCACTTCTTTCTCTGTGCTCCCTATGCCATGTCCTTAAGTCTCCCAAAGCCCCCAAACCCTCATTTCATTCACATGTTTATAAATATATATGCCTTTATCTACAAGATTGAGAGTTTCTTGAGGGCACAGAATGTGTCTGATTTTTTGTTGTTCTGATATCTAGCTCAGTGTCCATCACTTAGTAGCTGTCCAAGCAATACATGGTAAATACAAGAATGAAAGCTTGAAAGAACAAGGCCAGCAGGATCTGTAAAAGGTGATGATAGTCGCTACAGAAGCCAACTACGGAACAAGAAAGCTGCTAGTGGACACTGCCTATCAGCCACCCTGTAACCCTGGTTTGGCTGCAGTGAACGCAAACTTGTTTGTGCGTTTTATTTTGACGCTCTGGCTGTTGCTAGTACCTCTGGGGTGGGGAAATGTATTCCTCTAAGGCCTCGTACACTGTTTCCATCCACATTTCACCTCATTTGGCTGAAGAAAAAGCCCTGAAGCAAAAGGCTTGGGTTGAGTGGTAGATTCACCATTAACTATGAGGTCATTTCAGAGCCCATCTGTCAAATGTAAATAATTGTCTAGACTCAACAGGGCTATTGTGAAGCTCACATGAAGACTCAGCTGACTGTGCACTCATATTCACATTTGAATTTCCAGATCCTAGCCAAGTGCCTAGGATACAGATGGTACTCAGTGATGTTTGTTAAATGAACAAAATATATCGACTTGCTCTGTCTCCTATTTCCCCTATACTGGTACCAGCATAACTCAGAAACCTCGGAACCTCACTCAGTTTCTCCCTCTTCCTTATCACCACATCCAATCTGCCACCGTATCTGGTCAGTTCCACTTTAAAATCTTTCTTGACTCTCTCTCCTCTATTCTGCTCTAACTCTGCTGCCTCAGTTAGCATCTTCACCATTTCTCTCTCACTTTTTGTATCTTAGTCTTACTTTAGCCAGAAAGGCCAGATGGGAACACTGCCTAAGGGAGGGTGACTGACACCAGGGTCTTGGTGGCCACATTAACCCTGGAGGAGTGCTACCTAAGGCAGTTTTGTTGTTGAGAAACATTGAAGTCATATTTGAGAAGTCAAGATCATGCATCAAATCTGAGAAGAAAGGTAAAGATTAGTCGCTGAATGAGTTAAAATCCAGATTGAGCATGATGTGAGGGATAGATTAAGATAAAACAGTTCAGTACAGCACCAGTGAACATACTAATAGCAGAATACTAAAATTGCTTTTAAATAGCCATGGCATGCAGTGCAGAGGTAGCGGCCTATTAAAATTGCTCCTTTCTAGGCAATACAACATTCTAGCTGCCTCTTCCCTCCTTCAGTCATGTCTCCTTCCTACCTATTCTCTATATTGGTGCCAAAAATCATCTTAATAAAATGCAAACTTGAGTTTTCACATCTTTGCTTGATACCCTTTATTCACCACCACCTCCACAGTCAATTCTAAACCTGTAAAATGACACTCCCTATCATCTGTTGTCAAGGTCCCAGCTGCCTCTTCGGCCTCATTTCTTAGCATTCTTCCCATGGCACCTTACCAAACCACAACTGTTCTCCAAAATGTGCTCTCTTCTCTCACACTTCTTGCCTTCACACATGTGGGTTCCTGTGCTGCTAATGTCCTTCCCCATTTCAGGCAGCTGGGACAATCTTATTCATGCTTACAGATTCAGCTTCAAAATCACTTCCTTTGGGACTCCTCATACTCTCACGCTTTGAGTGCTGACCCTTTGCTGTGCTTCCACAGTGATTTGGAAATGTTTGCATTAGAGCACTTAACTACATTCCACTGCTTATCTTAATTTAAAAAAACTGTGATATAGAAAACACAAAAAATTGCACATCAAAAGCATTAAGTTCAAGGAACGATCAAAAAAAACACTTATATAACCATCACCGAGAACAAGGGTTGACAAACTTTCTCTGTAAAGGGCCAGATGAAAACGTTTTAGGCTTTGCAGACAATACGGACTCTGTCACTACTGCTGAATTCTCTTGTAGCAAAAGCAGTGATAGACAAAGTAAACAAAAAGATATGGATGTATTCCAATAAGATTTTACTAACAAAAACAGTAGGCAGACTGGATTTGGCCTGTGGGCCATAATGTGCAAACCCCTGACCAAGATCAATTCCCATATATTAATGACTATCTCCTACCTCTCCCAAAAGATAAACACTATTGTGATTTATACAGTAATTTCTATTTTTCTTCATAATTTTACCACTGAAGCAAAAATTCCTAAGCACAGTTTTTGATGTTTATATAAATGGAACTGTATATTACATATTCTTTTATATTTGACTTTTACTCCATATTACACTTGTGAAATTCATCTGTTATTACATACAGCTGTAGTTTGTTGATTTTCATTGTTATAGAGTATTCCATTATACAATTTTTTTTTTATTCTGCTGATAATGGATATTTGGTTGATTTTAGTTTTTCACTGCTATGAACTATGTCATTATGCAGCGAAGAACAACCATGTATGTATCTTGATGCACAGGCACACATTTCTGTTTCCAAATTAACTGTACTAATTTAAACTCCACCAGGAGAGTGTGAGATTTTGAGCTGTTCCATATCCTTGCCAATTCCTGCTATTCTTCTCCTTCTTCTTTACACATTTTAGCCATTCTGTCAGATGTGTACTGGTATCTAATTGTTATTTTTATTAGCATTTCCTTCTTTGATAAATGAGGCTGAGCCCTTTTCACATTTGTATTGGCCACGTGAATAGCCTGCTTTCCTTTGTGAAGACTTTTTCCTTTTGCTGATTTGTAAGAAGTTCATTTTATATTCTGGACACAAACCATTTATTGATTGTATGTGTGGCAAATACCTTTTCCTAGTTCAAAGCTTGTCTTTTCTCTTTTTTAATGTTACCTTTTGATGAACACAGTTAATTTTCATAGTATCCAATTTTTCAATTTTCCTTTATAATGATTTTTATACCCCATCTAAGAACTATATTCTGCTCTGAAAAGATGACCTAATGTTATCTAAAATTTTAAATCTTTTACATGTGATATATAGCTAATGGAATATTGATTTTATGTGGTGTGGGATAGGAGTTAAAATTCAAATTTTTACCATGTGAATATTTGTCTCAGCACTATATATTTAAAAGAAGTTACTTTAGTAGTACTTTATAATGTCTTAATTTTTTTTAATAAATCAGATATTGATATACATGGGTCTTTTTTTCCTGGACTCTCTATTATTTTTAATCTTGGCTATTTGTCTATCCTTGTTCATATACTTTAATTACTGTCTTGGGCAAATCTCGGCTCTTTGAATTTCCAACTGAAAAATACAGATTAATGGACAGACCAAAGAAAACCATGAAGGAAAATGAAGAAGAGCTGCAAGCTAGCAAAAAAATGGAAGTGGAATGGGTTTATGTAAGACAACATGGTTTTCTAAAGGCAGAAAGTCAGCATTGCTAGCACCTACTATAAAACTGTCAGAGTGAATAAAGATGAGAAAGCATTGGATTTAGAAAGTAGTGGGTCACTGATGATATCAGCCAAGGAAATTAAAGGAATGGGTAAGGAAGAAGCTAAAGCAGCAAAATCATTATTTTGAAGGAAAGGAAAAAATTATTAGTGTCTACTCGGTATTTTAAAACCTTCTTCTCTATGTTCTTTCACAAAGATTACCAATATTTATCATAGGAAATAATCCACCTTGAAGATGTCATAGTAATTATGGGATATATACAATAATATTTTCTTTACATAACATTCCCACATGGGAAAGAGGATATATTGTTTGAGTTCATGCCAGTAGTTTTTGTTGGAGATTTAAGGGCCTTAAATCCAATATTTTCTGTCTGTCCGACTCCAACTGTGTCCATAAGCCAATAAATATATCCGACTGGCCATCAAAGATAAGGTTTACAACCCTTCCCCAAAATAGACTATTTTATGTTTAAAATGAAGTGGCTTTATCCTTGGCCTCACCAGTATAACTGGACATAACTCAGACTGTAAGGCCTACACCATGTTCCAAAACTGTATCCAAATTATGCTGTTCATGGATAAGAGTGAGAACTGCAAAATCAAACAACCTGCCCAAAGTCACAGAGCATAGGGAGCTGTCCAGATTCCAACTCCGGTCTGACTTAGAAGCCTCATTCTCCCATAGTCGATCTCTTCTCTTGAGCAATGGGCACGCCGCTCCCCATCTCAGGGCACTCAGTGTAGAATGAAACACAAACACATAACGAACACCATCGAATATCATGGAAGCAGTAATATAACGAGGGTACGTACAAAGAGCTATAGAAACACAAAGGAGAACACGGCTACCACTTTGGGAGTCCCTAAAAAACTGACAGACATTGTGCTAAACCCTGTATATTTCCTTACAAGCATGTCACATATGTATTAAGCCCATTTCACAAACTAGTTAACTGATGCATTGAAATGCCCCAAACTGTACAATTATTAAGTAACTGCGTTTGGTCCCAGTGATCTTGAGAAGCTGAATACTGTATTAAGTAGAAGAATGCAGACTTTGTAATCACCAGACTTGGGTTAAAATCTAACTCTGATGTATGTTTATTGTTAGCTCCTGCAAGTGTCTTACCATGAAGATGGCTGTCTAGACACTCCCAATCCATCCACTGGCTGGCTGGTGCCAGGATCCCAGACTTCTGCCTTCCGTATTACAGGTACCACGTAACCTCAGCCCGCCCAGCAGAGAGCCCCGCCCCTTCCGGAATCCTGCCTGAACACGACCTTCTCAGGCCTCCTGGCGCTCACCTCTCCACCTCCGTCACCAAAACAGGGACACTGTAGCGAAGGGTCTTCTTTTTCTTGTGCAAGGCGCGCGTCACCTTATATAGAACTGTCCAACTCGCATCCACGACCCGCCAAACGAGCCCAGCGCGGCCTTCCGAATATCAGCGGCTCAAGCTACCCGAGACCACGGCGTACTTTCCGCATCCCCAGTGTTCGCGGTCCTCTCCTGAGAGGCCTCCGCCAGGCAAAAGCAATAGATCTATCGTAACATACTTAGGCATCCGCCCGGAAATTGCAGCACCGATGGTTTGGTTCCGGCACGCCGGCGTGCAATTGGGATATTTGAGATTTGAATTAGGTTCACCTTCACCATCCAACTTGTAGAGAAACCTATACCTCCCGTTCTAGTTCTTCACTAAGGTCTTCTTAGAACACTCCCTGTCATATAGCCACTCGATAAAATCAGCCAAAGAAAAAAGTTATTTTGAAGCTAATACTAGAACCTCTATGGCTATTTGTAGGGCGGGGAATTTACCTGCTTAATTGAAAAAAAAAAAAAGTTTTTAAGTGCTACAAAAGGTTAGATTGAATGGTAGTATACAGAGTACTGCCTTGCTATCATTGAACCTTTACTGCTAGAACAATTGCCGCCAGTTAGCCTTTGATCATCAGGCATTTATGAAGGCCTATTTTCCATTCATTCAACGACCAGCCAGCACACCTTTTTGCGGGCCATCAGAAGGCTCGAGGAACACAAAGATGAAAAGGTATAAAAAAAGCTGTAAAGAAGATGGCAAGCTAATGGCCATACAAAGGAATGTGTGCCTAAAGTACATCGCTAGCTTTGGAAAAAGACCCCACATGAGCCATTTGCCAGGGCGAGTGAGAGAAAGCCTCACCCGTCAAGTATTATTTGAGATGACATAATAGTATAGATGCAGGCGACACAGAGTAACATGCCCCCCTGGTATCCCTGAAAACTTTCCATCTCTCCTTGCCTCTCTGTTGCCACTGAAACATTTCTGATTTAATCTCTTATTATTTTTCCAACTATTAAAGTAGCCCCTAAGTGGTCTCCATAGGAGAAACTCCTAATTTCCAATAATGCCCGTGTCTACAGGACTAAGGGTCAAATATGGAAAGGAAAAAAAAAAAAGGAAAGGAAAGAAATTTTGTTGTAATTTTTAAGTCTATCTTTGACACTGCAAAAAGATACCTAAAAGATATAAATGATGATAGGATTGTCCTGCTTTTGTTTACAGTCTTCATTCTGATTTTCTTAGCAAGGAAATTCAGGCCTTTTGTAATATAACTTTAATTAGATTCCTATAACTATCCTTTATTTACTCCATACTCCTTCCTGGAGGAGACACCATTCCCTGAATTTCCACAACTTCGAAATGCAGCTCCAAGGAAACCAGGTTCATGAAGCCTCCCCGACTCTGCAGGCAATGTAAGTCAATCCCTCCTCAGAACCTTTAACTCATATATACGTATATATCTATACTCATGATAAGTCTATTATTCTTAATACATCAAGTCAGTGCCTTTGATTATATGTAGGAATATAAGCAACGTGATAAAAGGAGAGAGTTTAGATCCACCGCATCTAGAAAAGTCCCCAGTAGCAGGTGCTTAATGTTCATTGAATGAATGATGATGTACATATAAACATTTTCCATGCCATTACCTTGATCAAACTGGTGCTGAGAAATCAAAGGTGATTTCTTCCCTGTTTTAGAAGGAGGGCAGCTGGAGTGAACCAAAGAAGATGAGCCAAAGTTTTAAGGCTTCTGGCTCTGATTGTCCACTAGAGGAGACAGAACTATACCAAGTGGGACCTGTTTAACATCCTTGGACTTGCACATTTTAAGTAAACACACTCTCTAGGGCACAAAAATGGGCAGTCACTGCAAAAGGTTTAATAAGTGTTGGGAAATGTTTCTGGAATTTCAGCACAGGATTCAAAACTATCCTCTTCATAGCTGACTCCATAGCTGCCTTTAACTTCTTTTGCTGCCTGTGCCACATCTCCACATTTCACCTGCTTGTCTCTTTATCTAGATGTGAAACGTAAGAACAACTGAAGGAGGCCTTTGGCTTAAGTCAGATGCATGCCTCAACTCAGCAGCCAGAGAGATACTTGTATGTAAGTCAGATCATGTCATTCTTCTGCTCAAAACCCTCCAATAGCTTACTATTCCCTGCAGAGAAAATTCAAAGGCCTTAAAATGTCCAGCAAAGCCTCTGATAAGCACCTCCCCGCCCCTCTTCACCTCTCATTCATCTCTCCTGTTATTCTCTCTCTGGGTCCCTTGGCTTCAGTCCTATTTGCCTACTATATCCCTCCAGTCACACTCCCACCTGAGGACCTCTGCACTGGCTGTTTCCTCTGCCTGGAGCTCACTTCCCCCAGATAGGCACACGGCTAGCTACCTTATTTCCTTCAGATGTTTTCTCGAATATCATCTCAGTGAGGCCTATCCTGAGCACCCTATTTAAAATTGTAATCTTCTACAGACTCCCAAATTCTGTCATCTTTCTTTACTTTTATCCTAGTAACACTTGTCAATTTCTAACATACCATAGAATTTACTTATTTACATGTTTCTTAGGTAATATCTGTAGCTGGCTGTTAGAATATAAGGTCTGTGGGGGCAGGGATCTTTTTCTGTTAACATTGCTGTGTTCCAAATGGCAGACTGGTGCCGGGCTCATAGTAGTCACTCAATAAATAGTTATCACATTAAGTAATCCTTGCCATCTCTTTTCTAGTAGAATTTGTCCACAGTGGAAACCCCCTGATCTAGCTAACTGGTGACTTCTTAACATTTTATTCAGTCCAGGATCTGTAATGCTTTTCGAACCAATAAAGCAATTTGTGCCTTTTCTTAGGGTTATAGGCGATATAAACAAACAAACAAAGAAAAACAAAAGATCAGTAGTTGCTTTGCAAAATTCCCATGGTAGGGGACCACATTGAAGTCATCCTCATTCTGACAAGCCTCAGACTATAAATATTTCCATTCCCAGTATTTTTTCATCATACAACTTATTTTGCACATGTAACCCGTGTACCTATCAGGAACCTAATTCCTAGTTTGGGAACTTCAATCGTCATTTTTACATTCCAAGCAAGTAGTGAAGAAAAGTCAAAGACCAGCCTTCATGGAGATCTCTTGGAAGTTTTATACACTTCTTTCTACCTCATTAGCCAGAAACCTGGTCTTATGGTTATATTTAACTATCAGGAAGGCCTAAATATGTCATATTTTAATGGGATGAAAATGAGCCAATTAGAAAAAATCTAGGTTAAAATTCTAAGTTGAATGGTGAAACTGGACCATTAGGAGCTTCTGACACATGAAGTGACACATTCTGTCTGAGCTAGCCTTTCTGCCTAAGGTCTTATGACCTTGAGATATGGAAAAATATGAAATTTGGTGAGCTCAGCCTAATATTTACAAGATTGGTGGAAACTGCCTCGTACCTTGAAGTATTTTACCCACATCTTGCTCTATTTCTGCACAGTCACATTATAGATTCACTTTGTCTTTATAATCTGTCTGCTCCTCCCCTCTCCTACTCCAATATTTTATTCTTTCAGCCTCTTGTGACTAACTCATGGATTCATTTGCATTTAAGCCTTAACTACCTCTCCTTGAGATGGTATTACTTCCAACTTGCTCTGTAACTGACCTCTTGCATATTTTATTTTTTTCTATGCTTCCTTAGGTGATTAAACCCCTTTCTCATTGACACTTTTTTACTTGCCATATTATTATGTTTAATCAGATTGTATTAGTTTGTTAGA